AACAAAAAAAAAGCGTTGATGAATTAAAAAAAAAAAAAAAAAAAAAACCCCACAACATCAAAAATAGTCTTTGCTCAGCAGTACTGTGTTTTGGTTCTGTGTTCCTGTGGTACCTTGTGTAATGGTGACATAGTTGCTGTTAGTTACTGAATGAGCTTGACATGCTGACCTTTGCACAATGTGTCTGCAATGAAAGCTGTTGTAAACAGGGTACCCATACAAAACACGCAATATAAACACTCACCAATAATCCTCTCTGTTGTTTTTAGTGGGTCACAGGGAGTGGGATGTATTGTGGGTAATTTTTTTTTTTCCAATGTAAATCATTGGTCCCTAACCGTTTTTTTGTACGACGGATCCATCGGCCGTTACTGCGAACCGGTAATACTATATATTTTCAAAATAAATATAGTTTTAGACTTTACTCTGTTAGTTTTTGATTATTTTTGAATGAAGTATATTAGTAAAACTCAAGTACATTTTGTCACTGTGTCCCACTGTGGGCCGCTACCAAATGACCTACAGACCGGCACTGGTCCCCGGACCGGGGGTTGGGTACCCCTGCTTTAGATTGCAGTAATTTAACTTGCAATATTTCGATCTCCTATTGAAGCCTAAGGAAGAACCAAGGCTAACGGTGTTAGCAGGGTTAGCTTGGTGTAATCTTGGTAGAGGAGAGATTACAGAAAAAGATTTCATTACATCACTTTCACTACTACAAACTATAAAACTGTATTCATATTTCATTTTTTTTTTCTATTTTTTTAAACTCGCATTTTTTTTTTTTTGTGCTCCTCAGATCAAGTTCTAGAGAAAGCGATGCACAAGTGTGTCTTGAAGCCGTTGAAATCAGTGCTGAGCACTGCCCTGCAGGAAATTCAAGAGCGCAGCGGAGCGTGGCGGGAGCTGAAGGAAAACCTGGCGCTGGCCAAAGCACGGAAGCCCCAGGAGATGGGCGTTGCTGCGATGCAGCCCCCGGATCCCGTCGCGTTAGAGAAGATCAAGCAAAGGTTCCAGACTATGTGTAAACTGTACTCGCCAGAGAAGAAGGTCACAACGCTGTTGAGGGTCTGCAAACTCATCTACACCGTCATGGAAGACAACTCAGGTAAAGACAAGTACTGATTTATACAGTATTTGTATTTGTATTTGTATAAATACAATTTGTATTTGTTTATATTTATATTTATATTTATATTTATATTTATATTTAAATTTATATTTATATTTATATTTAAATTTATATTTATATTTATATTTAAATTTATATTTATATTTATATTTAAATTTATATTTATATTTATATTTAAATTTATATTTATATTTATATTTAAATTTATATTTATATTTATATTTAAATTTATATTTATATTTATATTTAAATTTATATTTATATTTATATTTAAATTTATATTTATATTTATATTTAAATTTATATTTGTATTTGTATCTGTATTTGTAGGAAACCTGGTTGTTCCTGATGTGTAAGTCCACTAAAGCTTTTAGCCTGTGTGTCTCTCAGGTCGATTGTTTGGTGCTGACGACTTTTTGCCCATGCTCACCTACATCCTGGCTAAATGTGACATGCCTGAGCTGGACAACGAGATACTTTACATGATGGAACTGTTGGACCCTTCACAACTTCACGGAGAAGGTGAATGTCGAGTACAGGGAGACCTGCCAGCACACTACAGAGATGTAGAGATGTTGGGTACCAACAAAAATAGCTAGCTAGCTAGCTAGATAGATAGATAGAGAGCTAGCAAGATAGACAGCTTGCTAGATAGATGGTTAGCGGTTAAAAATAACCACTTGGTTCTATCAACACCTCCGCCTATCACATTCCTGCGCATGTGTCTGACGTTGCCATTTTTAGAATGGCCTAAGCTACTGTGCATTACTGCCCTGCAGACCCACCCTCCCTCTCCAAAACCACCAAAGTACTGTTCAACAACCCACCCTCCTGTGACCGATGGTTTATCTATTGTCTAGGTTTATGTGTTAAGAGCCACCGAGCAACTGACTTTCAGAAATTATAATAATAAAAAATAAAAACCGTATGATAACAAAGTCAATTAAATAACGCATTAATGTGATGGTAAACTTACCAGAAATATTAAATTAGTTTCAGATTTTAAATCAGTCGTTGTTGTAGATGAGTTGTTTGTTTCATCCATTAAAATTATGTAAAGCGGGGGTTCCCAAACCCCCGGTCCGGGGACCGGTGCCGGTCCGCAGGTCAATTGGTACCGGGCCAAAGTGAGACACAGTGAAAAAATGTACTACAAAAAATGTAATCCTTGGTACAAAAAAATTACGGACCTCTGGTTTAAAGTCTCAATGGTGTTTTTAAAAAAGTAAGCCAGTGGAGTGGTCGGAACACTGAACCGTGTTTCTTTTCGTCACAGGCGGTTACTACCTGACCAGTGCCTATGGAGCGATGTCCTTAATCCGGAACTTCCAGGAGGAGCAGGCAGCCAGGGTGCTGAGCTCTGAAACCAGAGACACCCTCTGCCAGTGGCACCGGCGCCGCACCGCCCAACGTTCTGCACCTTCCATTGACGACTTCCAGGTATGAAGTGTTAAAAGGGTTAAAACTCGTTTATTTTGGGTGTCAAACTCATTTTACGTTCAGGGGCCACACACAGCCTGAATAGATGTCAAGTGGGCCGGACCAGTACAATCATAACATATTAACCTATAAATTAGGCATGTCCGATAATATCGGCCCGATATTCCAGACCGGATAATAGCATAATTACGTTATATCTGTAAGAATCGTCAAGCCCTCGATCTTTGTGTATATTCTCCCCGTGTGCAGTGAGTTTCCTCTGGGTTCTCTAGTTCCCTCGCAGTCCAAAAAAAAAAAATGCTCCGACAGCAGCTCACAGCAGTGATGACATCGTGTCGATCAGAAAGCTGACTGACTGCTTTTGAAGATCACGTTCACGAAAGCAGCTGGCGTCATCAGATTCGCGCTCGATCGCGCGTCGTTAACATTGCCACCGCGTGGCCCTGTGTGAAACGCCTCATTAATAAATATATGACTCACTACAGTTCTTTTTGCCGAAGTGCACCGAGCATGGCATCGTTCTCACGCAGAGGTCATGTATTTTAGTGTCTCGTGTCGTGTGGTGGTGCTGTGCCACAATGCCACGTGACGTCTCTCCTCCTTCCTGTAAACGAAAACCGCGTTGTAACTGTCTTGTGCTTTCGTATTTCCGTTAGAACTACTTGCGAGTGGCTCTGCAAGAACTGGACAGCGGCTGCACAGCGAAGACCCTGCAGGTCCGTCCTTACGCCACGGTGGAGGAGGTGTGTCAGCTGTGCGCCCTAAAGTTCAAAGTGTCAGAGCCGGAGAAGTACGGCCTCTTCCTGCTCATAGAGGGCAGCAGTCAGCAGCTGGCTCCAGACACCCACCCTCAGAAGATCAAAGCTGAGCTCCTCAGCCGCCCGCAGCCTCCACCCTTTCATTTTGTCTTCCGCCGATTGGCCAGCAACGCCCCACAGTTATCGCCTGCAAGTGGATCTAACGCTCCCAACAACAGTAGCACAACTGACCTGACCTGACCTGACCTGACCTGACATGATTTTCACTTCTGCCGAGTGTCGGGCTGTCAGGCAGCACACTTGAAATGTCACTGTGTCATCAATATCACATATCATTTTAACACATTTTCTATCGAACAAAACCTTTTACTATTACACTCCGAGTGTGTCGATGATATTTTTTTTTTATTTTTTTTTATTTTTTTTTTGCAAAAAACAAAAACAATTACTTGAAAAGGTAAAAGGAACTGCACCTGAAACATGAAAACACAGTCAAATTCCCATTAGAGAAACTTGTATCTTGTTCGGTGGAAAGTACCAGAACATGTGTGGGCTTTAGTCAGAATGACTGGTAACTAAGTGGAAGTTTCAATAGTTGGATCCAGGTACTTCTCTTTTCCTGTTGAAATGCAGTAAAAGTCGAAGAAAAAAAACAAAAAACAAAAACAAAGAAAGTGTAAAAACCTTTAATGAAACCTTTTCAAATTTTTTTGGAATCTTAAAACTTATTGGGCATTGAAGACCTTGTGTCCAGTCCTGGGCTGCTAACTTTGTGCTGGTATGCTAATAACATACCGCTATCCCAATAAATACCTGTACACTAATCACATGGTTCTAACAAACAGTATAATACAAAGGTCATATGAACATTCACATATGTATGTGTGTATATATATATATATATGTATATATGTATATATATATGTATATATGTGTGTATATATATATGTGTATATATATATACATATACATACATATATACATATACATATATATACATATATATATGTATACACATATATACACATATATATACATATATATACATATATATGTATATATATGTGTATATATATATACATATATATACACACACAAAAATATATGTGAATGTTCATATGTACAATATGCCTTTAAGTGTCTTCTCAGCACCTACTACAGGCCAGGGAAGGGAAACCTCTCCTTAAATGTCTCCAAACAAAGAAAACCATTATACTTGCACACAACTGCCAACCTACCCTTTAATGTTGCTGTAGAAAAAAAAAACAAAACACTTATTAAAGTAGTATGTAACTCTTGATTTTAAACGTATAAGTCGTGAATTGTATATTTCTAGGCGATATTTACATCGTGATTTTACTTATTACAGTTGCTGGTAAACTGTATAATGTAGCTTATGTTTTATTCGTTGGACGTCTTGTGTTACTCATGTGAAATCATTCAGGGTCTCTTCGATATGTTGTTTTTTTTTGTTGTTTTTTTTTAAACAAACATAATGACATGAAATGAATATGTTTTGTCTTTACTATCACGTGATCTGCCTTGACGTGCAGTAAATCTCAGTCTAAAGTAGACACTTGTTAAATATTTATAACACCATCATTTTGTAAAACTTACAAAACAAAAATCCAACACTATGTCGTGGGCAGATTGAAATGGCAGGAAAAAAAAAAAACCTCATTTCAAGAGCTCACTAATCACCAGCCTCACGTCATGCCATCACGTACCGTCATTATGGTGTTGTTTCAAAAGGGCACAGTATCTAAGGTCATGTCCATGTTTGACTAGTCCTAATTGTAGAGAGTGTGAGTTTGAGTTTAACTTTCGAATGAAAAATCATTATCACTGTTGTGGTGTTTTTTTTTTTGTTTTTTTTTTTTGTGATTTTCCCAAACAACAAATTGCAAAAATTATTGAAGGTGGATTTGAAAAATTTTGCATTTTTTAATTTTGTCAACTGGTGATGTTTGTGTACAACGACATCTATGTATTTTCTTTATATCCTGGTGTCATAGAAGATACTGTTCTATGGGGTATAGAGCAGGGCTCTCAAACTGAAACGAGTGTAAGGCAGATGTGGTTCAAACTAAGGCGTGTGGGCCAAATACGGTCCTCTGGGCTTTCAATTCCCTGCCCAGCAAAACACTAGTACAACGTATGGTTAAGACTGATTTACATGAATTTATTGTAATTGCAATGAATGCCACTAGGTGGCAGTAGACATCAAATGAGACCCATTTTCTTGAAGGTTTGGGTTTAATCTTGTACGTTTATTATTTCACCCAAACATTGTGCACTTTGAAACTCATTTTTGCCCATGAGCTACAAAGTTCCCCCCCCAGTGGTCTATTCTAACACTGCCACCATGATTCCATGTATGATCTATCTGTGAGTACTTTCCAAATTCATCAAGCAGTCAGGCTTGATGAAAATCAGCCCCTAGAGGGCCGATTTTGGCCCACGGGCCTTATGTTTGACACCCCGATTTAATGTAACCTAGCCTACTACAGTCGTGGGCCACATGTGGGAGGATACATGCCTGAAGTGGCCCTTGGTATAGTTGAGTTTGAGACCCCTGGTCTAGAGGCAGACACAGGGTTTGAGAACCGCTTAGAAATGTTCGCGAATCAGAATAAAGACCGTATGTCCTGTCCTGTCCTGATCTGTCCAGCTGGTGCTGACATGAGATCCGTACGGTAGAAATGGTTGTTTATCTGTGATTGTACAACTGTGGGCAGAATGAACTGTAGAGGGCAGTGTGTGGTGGTGTTCCTGACAGACACTCCGGAGCCGGGCTGCTCACACTTTTCTCTGGCTTGGGAACTACTATTCAAATGACTAAATATGAATATATGTTTACTCATATAAACTGAACATACTTTATATACATACAATATATGTTAGGCTGCTGATCAAATACATGTAGCTGTACGACGCAATATGATTCGTGTCTTAGTATATGTACTGTATATGGTAAATACACACACTATATACTTCATCATATTTATGTTTTGTTACTCGTCATCTACCAACACTGCCTTTGCGATCTACTGGTAGATCGTGATCTCCTCATTGGGCGTCCCGGCTCTGGGTGATGTCTGTGTGCAGCTCCACCAACGTTACATCTGAACGAGGTGAACAGTCCTTGTATTCTTTCACCAATTAAAAAATGTATATGTATCTGTGCTGGGCTTTTTCACAGATGGATTATTTAAAGTTGTCATTTTTCTTTCTTACATCTTAGCATTGAACAATGTTTTTTTTAACTGTATAAACATGGTAAAATGGCACGCCTTGAGAGCCTGTATTATTATTATTAGCATTTTGATTTGTTTTTTAATTTTTAATCACAATTATCGCGGGGTAGCTGTCGATTAATCACAATTAAGTAGCATTTTGGTTTGTTTTTTAATTTAATTTTTTAATCACAATTATCGCGAGGTAGCTGTCGATTAATCACAATTAATCATGAATCAAAGTGGCTATATATGACATATTGCTGGAACAGTCATATAAATATCTATATACATATATACATGTATATATGTATACAGATAGATAGATGGATGGCATGCTGTTCAGGAAATTAATCCTTGAATATATATACAGAAAGTCTAAATATATGCAGAAAATCTGAATATATATAGAAAATCTGAATATATATACAGAAAATCTTCTAATAAAGAAAAAGAGTCAAGAATGATTTATGATGTAATCCTTTTAAGAGATGAGTAAAGTTCACTAAAGACAAAGTTTGAAATATATATATAGTATTTAAATTATTTATTATATAGATTTTCAGCAATGATATTTTCTGTTACAGTCGTCAAAGCACGCTCTAATAAAGAAAAAGAGACTAAAGAGACTAAACCAACTAAAAAAAAAAGAAAGAAAGAATGTGAATGTCAGTGGTCAAATGTAGGAACGTTGGAACGTTTGGAATAATATTGGAACGTTTGTATAACGGAAGTTTGTATAACGGAAGTAGGAATACTTTGTCCGGTCCTTATTTCCGGTTGCAGGTACGGCGGGGTTTCAAGTCAAAAAAAGTTTCAGGCGAAGAACATGGAATATCTACGTGGAGCTACAAATGACAACACGACTCTGCTAGTTTTGACTTGCAATTGTGTTACAAACATAACGCCATAGCCATGAAAAGGGGACACGACTGAGGTCGGTAGAATTGATTTATTATCATAATTTGTAAAGCGACGCCATGATGGCGTTGAAGCCTGTTAATATTTACCTCCAACAATATCTCCCCCCACAGGTGGCCAACGTGTGGTACGACGTACAACGGATACACGTTACCTGTGCGGTGCGTCGACTGTCACTGTATTTACACGTGAGCTGTGCGGTGCGTCGACTGTCACTGTATCCTTTGTTATTTAGTTCGGTATACTTCCGTGTCTTCACCGGGGACGTCACAAGTCGATATTACTTAATTAGCGATATGAAGGCCCTAGCATTTCCTGCGAAAATATAACCAAATTGAAGGTGAAGCGTTATACAATTCTCAATTAAATTAGACTAGTATAATTATAAGAATATGTGAACAAGTATATAAAATAAATATATAATATATGAAATATATGCACAGTGTAAATTGAGTAGTGAAATAATGAAATTAAATAAACAGCTAGATGTATTTTGGATGCGCAACCAAATTAATAGCGTAAAAGAAACATGACTGCAGATAGTACACGTCTTCCTGATTACTGCTAAAGAAATAGTTTGCAATATATTATATTGTGATAATGAGGAACATTTTTTTGTTGTTTATTTGTCAATGTTCCACAGAAGTCCTGAAGGAAGCTAAGGAGGCACATCAACGACATCCAGACGTCTGTAGACCTCACCATGTTCATCAGTGCCTCAAAGGACGACACCGCCAAGGTGAGAACTCTTACGTAAATGATTGATGTGATAACAGTTGTTGAAAAATGTTATAAATAAAGTCATCAGAATGACTGGCCGCCAAGGAGAACGCCCAGAGAAGAGTTTTTTTTTAAGGCGATTAAAGAAAAGAGTTGTCTATGAAGATCCTCAGTCATCCAGGTCAAGGTTGAAGAGTTCCGTTAGGCAACTGGAGGTGACATTTTTCTCAAGAAGACGTTTCACCTCTCATCCAAGAGGCTTCTTCAGTTCTACAGCAGATATATACTCTAGGTGTGAAAGAATAAAGCTTCTTCAGCTCCACCCTGTTGGGTGGGGCATTGGGGTCAACTGGGAAAGTGTAAACAGTCGTTAAGAGTCTGAATCTACCACTGCCACTAAAAACAAACAAGACGAAATAGTCTTACGATCATGAAACAATGCAAAGAAAAAAGTCCTAGAAATGCCTTCAAATGGAAATTTATGGCCCAAAACATGCTGCCAGGTGAATATTTTGTGCTAAAAACGTCACATCTGAACATGTCGAAATATGAAATATGAAAAACAAGCAAGACTATAATTTATATATTCAACCTAAAATGAGTTAATATTCTTAATTAGCTACAAAATAAATTAAGGCAAGCCTATTAAAAAGTAAATTGAGTTTTGCCAAAGAAACGATCAAAAATATATCAGAGAAAAAAAACAGGAGCAAAAATTATGGTTTTTATTTAATTTTTAGAAAATAGCCTTAAATTAGCTTAGCATTAGTGCTAAAATGTCCTGCAGAATTTTGGCTAAATTTTGCCAAATAATATGACGATAAAAGTTCAAAGCTTGACGCACAGTTCGGGAACAGTTAGCAGAACAGAAATTGTTAGCCAGAAGTTATTTGATCGGAAAAGCGCAAAAATTGACCAAAGGTATCGTTCAGTCAGCAAAAAACTTTCTTCTCATTCATCTTGACTTTAACTTGAATCTGTTATATTTGCAGGAGGCCAGGCAGAACCAGTAAGAGGGGCTCCAGGTGACGATCAACAGCCTGAAGATGCTGCTGAGGGACGTGGAGCAGGATCTGAGCATCTGTACGAACAATTTTAAACAAACCAAAGTAAGCATTTCGTCCACAGCAGGGGTCGCCGACGTGCACCTGGGTTCCCTCGTGGACCACCCAAGGTTGTTTTAAAAGTGAAACTAGTCGACAAAAATAGACCTTTTGAATCAGTTACACTTATAATGATGTTCAAGTAGGTTCAGTTACCATGGCAACTGTATGTTCCAGAATCTGACAGAGCAGCTTTCATTTAAAAAAAAAAAAAAAATAGTACCGTTGTCACAGCGTTGTGGTCATCCTCTTATTGATATTGTGGTAGCTAACGTATTTTTTTGGAAAAAAGGAAAAACAGAAACATAAACAAACCATAGTTTATTTCATAAACAAATCAACAACAACAGATTTACCACGTATCTACACCCTACGCCGGCAGCAGCATGTGTACCTACCTGTACTGTAGTACTCTAGGGTATCACGTGTCATGTTTAACTCAACGTGATTCCCTTTTAAATGCAAATAGAAATCTGTCATCAATAATTTATAACGCGGAGGTTTTCACAGTGTGATTGAACGAAGCACATCAACACACAGGAATTACACTTTACACCTATCTATGAAAATATATTTACCAACTATGCATTTACATCTGGAATTAAATATAGATACCAGCTACTTCACACTTTATATAAAATACATTTACATGTGCATCACCTCAGTCTGGATATCACAAATACTTTTTTAAAATAGTAATAGTTTTTAAAAAGAAAAAAAGTTTTACAGCAGTACAAACTCGTATACAGTAAAATACCTATTGGTAAAATGCAAATAAAATAATTTTTTTTAACATGTTTTTTTTTCTTCATCAAATTAGCCACAATTGCATCATTCTATTTCGTAACGTGTGTTGTAAACAAAATAATGAACATTTCAAAGAGTATTAAAAGTGATGGAAACTTCTATTTGGTTTTCAACAAGTAGCAACTGAAAAGGGAAATTGCTAGGCTAAAAAAACAACATGTAGACAACACAGAGGAGTGTCGTTTTAACTCAAACCCGAAAAGTAAAACACGAGCCGCCGACAGCAAGATAACGATCGAGGTGTTTCCCCCAAACCTTTTTGAGCCACAGCACACCATTTAGATCCTAAAAATCCCACAATGCACCACCAAATGTAAGTAAGCAAGTAAGTGAATATAATAATTCTCTAGTATCACTGGAATCCCAATACATTAACTCGGTGTGAAACCTTGGCCTGTTTGGTTGAACACAGTGCTGATATACTCACAGGAATTGATGAAATAATCAATTCTTCTGCTTCTGTGTCTCACAGAGGAGGATAAAAAATTAAAAATGTGTCAACGTAGCATGATCGGCAGTTGCTAGCAGTGTGCTACTGTAGTCCCAAATTTCTATTGTGCTGGTTGAGTTCAAAACTGTAGGCTGCTTTAGTCACAGTGCATGGACGTGGATGCATGAGGTCTAACGACCTTTGATCCAACAGTTAGCGACAGGTGATCGTAGATTCCAACGACATCGGCTCTTAAATAACAAAAAGATTTTGAAAATGTAAACAGTTGATCAACTTTTGGTCCATCACTATGGATATAAATAATATCATTTTTTTCCAAAAAATTTAAACATTTAGATTTAAATCTCCTCCTGAAATAAAGCGACTATTATTTAATTTAATTTCTTTTCTCCAACCTAACATTTTAACATATTTAATCTCAAAAAATCCACCACGAAAGTCTGTAAAAATCTAAATGACACGTTTAAGTAAATTATGACTAAACAGAAAAAAGGAAAAGTCCTTTTTTTAGATGTATAATTATATTTGAACTGACATTTATATAAAACGTACGATCTTTAGTATTGCTTAAAGCTACAATTAATCTGCTACTACTGTAGTACTTTGTAAATATTTCGTTCTCAATTGCTGTGTTTGAACCGTAAAAATAGAGAGTTTACAAAACAACATTTGTATGAACAGAAAAATAAAACATTCAGCATCATCGGCAATCTCGCATCACCGACTAATAAATTAAACTCGTGTACATAAATATAATGTACTTGTACTTGTGCTGTGGTGTAGTACATTCAGGGGAAGGGGGTAATATTAAGAAACGGCAACAGCAAGTGCAGTGAACAACATCGACGTC